GGGACGGATGGGGCTGGGGGGAGGCGGTGAGTAACCGAGACTCACTAGTCCCGGGGCTCCTGGCAATGGCGGAGGAGCCCGGGAGGCTTGTGCTAACGCTCGTCCCCAGGAGCGACAGACTTGACAAAGTTCCTCTGCTGTTCTCCCTCGGGCCATAGGCGTTTAAAGACACCGGGAAGACCCCCGTGGAGCCGGAGGTGGCGATTCACCGGATCAGAATCACGCTGACCAGCCGCAACGTCAAGTCCCTGGAGAAGGGTCGGTAGCTTCGGGGGGAAACATGGGGCCGGAAGGGCCGGGAGGGTCACTAGTTCTGTGCAAGATGGACCCGGAAGGAAGCTGACCCGGGTCGCTCGCCTTTGAGAAGGCAGAAGCTGATATTTCATTTTCACCGTGTCTTGCACCCCGCGGTTTGCGATGAGGAGACGATTGGTCGTTGAGTGGCGGTGATAGTTCTGTACGCTATTCTGAGCCGGCGGCGGGCAGCGTTTCCTAGGCGGCCTGGCTGTTTCGAATGAACTAAAGGGTGCTGCTTTCTCCCTAGTGTGTGCGGACTTGATCAGAGGCGCCAAGGAGAAGAATCTCAAGGTGAAGGGGCCCGTGGGGATGCCGACCAAGGTGAGTGAAGTGAAGCGAATCGCTGGGCTTGCTTCCGAGGGGGCTGTGGAGGGCCGGGGTCTGGCTTGGGATGCGGGGTTGGCTGCCCGGAGCTTCCTCTGCAGGTGGAGGGTGGGTCCCATTGAGGAGCTAATTGTAAGAGGCGGCGGCGGCGGTGGGGGCCTCCTGGCTGCTGTTGCTGGGGGAGGGGGTGCTTTCACAGCCACAGCTCCCGGGGGCTGCGGGGAAGGGACTCGCTGTGAACTGAAAGCATCTGGAACCTGTTGTGTGGGGAGGAGGGAAACTAAGGGGGAGCCCTTCAGCGTAGCTTCCAGGTGCCCGGGCCATGAGCATAAGTCCCTAAACGCCTGGCTGCCTTCCTTCCTTCCCTGCAGACGCTGAGAATCACCACAAGGAAGACGCCCTGCGGGGAGGGGTCCAAGACCTGGGACCGGTTCCAGATGCGGATCCACAAGCGGCTCATCGACCTGCACAGCCCCTCCGAGATCGTCAAGCAGATCACGTCCATCAGCATTGAGCCGGGGGTGGAGGTCGAGGTCACCATTGCAGATGCGTAAATCAGGCTTTTTAATAAATTGGCTATCTGTTGTTTAAGTTTTGTTGACTTTTATTTGTGATAGTGGCAGATCTTAGGGATATCGGTTTGTAGTATAAAAGGTTTCTGGCATGATTCTAAAGTGCACAGTGGATGTGATGTGAGCTTCCTTATATGGCTCTAAAATGATTAGTAGAAATGACTTCCATAGTTATAAGAGGACTTACTCGTTTTAATTCTGGCTAGAGATCTGAGAACGTTGGGCATAAAAAGCTTTGTAAAAGTGTAGGGTTTTTATTTTAAAATGACTACAGCAGAGACAACAAAACACATTTTTTCTTTTGGTAAGGAGTTCTAGTGAATAATTCATTTTCTTTAAGTATACAGTGCTGAAAATCTATGGAGATGCACAACTGTAGAGATAATAAAATCAGTATGAAGAGTAAAAGGAGCTACTCTAATCTCTTTAGGCTTTATCGCCTTGACCGTGGTATTTAGTAGCTGCTGCCCACACACCCCAATTTGCCTGGGAGAGTCCTGGTTTATGTCTGTATCCCCCATGTAAATAATGAAGTCTCCCTTTTACTCTCAAAAATGCCTTAGATTAGTTCTGGCCAATGTGGCGCAGTTAGGTGGAGCATTGTCCTGTACACCAAAAGGTGGTGGTTGGATTCCTGGTCAGGGCACATGTTGGGGGCGGGGTGGCTGATGGGCATTTCATATGGACGTTTCTCTCTTTAAAATAAAAAATGCCCTAGCTTAAATGCTAAATAATAAGACACCCCACAGTTAGATTCCTTTCTTCTTTAAGTCCTAACTGCCAGCTAGTTAGGATTGTAACAGTTTCCTAGATAAAGCATTAAGAGCCAATGGTGATTCATATTGCAGATGTCAAAACTTCTTGTTCCATCAGAGAACAGGTCACAGGGCAAGCCACCATCCCCAAATCTATAGAATTGGTCACAACCATAGGATGCCTGGAGCAGAAGCTGCTGTCAATCTTGGAGTACTGAAACAATTTTGACTATTGGAGACTGCTTGTAGACTAGCATGACATGCTTATATAGTTGCAACCAATAGTAAACACATTCCAGCTCCTAGCTAGAGTAACAAACCCTTACATAAATGACCTATTTACCTCAATTTTATTACCTGGTAAGACATCCAGATTTCAAGTTTTAAACATTTCAAGGTATGCCAGAAGGCAAGAACACTGACAGAAATAAAGCAGCCATCAGAACATATATGACACTGATAATGAAATTATGGGAAAGGTAATTAGAAATAACATGCATATGGGAAAGGCTCATGGAAAAAGGTAACATTTATGAACATGGGTAATGGAAACTAAAAAGGAATCAAAACTGCTAGAAGTCAACATCACAGTAACAATGTCTTTGAGGGGCTCATCAGTGGACTAGACAGCAGAGGAAAGTCAGCTTGCTGATAGGTCAATTGAAATTTCTCAAACTAAAATTTAAAGTGGAAAAAACAGAGCCAAACATCTAAGAACTATGGGATAACTATAAAAGTTGTAACATGCATAATTGGAATGCCAGAAAGAAAGAATGGAAAAGAAATAATTTGAAGTAATGTCTGGTAATTTTCCAAAATTATTGACAGACACCAAAGTACAAATCGAAGAATTTTAGAGAACATCATGCCAGTTAAATACTTACAAATCTATAGTTTGGCATATCCTATTCAAACTAGAAAACGCAAAGACAAGAGAAAACGGAAAGAATCCAGAGGCAGGTGGGAAGGAGGTGTGTGTGTGTGTGTGTGTGTGTAACTTGCCTATAGAGGAACAAGGATAAGAATACAGCAGCCTTCTCCACGGAAGCCATACAAGCAAGAAGAGAATGGAGTAAATCGTTAGTGTTGAAAGAAATTATCCTTTAAAAATGAAGGAGAAATACAGACTTTTTCAGAATAACAAAACCTGAGGGAATTCATTGCCAACAGACCTTCCTGGAAAATTACAAGAAAGTTTCAGGCAGAGGGAAATTATATAGGTCAGACCCAGATTTATATAAAGAATGGAAGAATGTAGGGAAAGGAATAAATGAAGGTAAACTGATTTTTTTTTCTTTTTCTTATTTTTAATTGATCTAAAGATAACTGTTTAAGACTCAGATACAGAGACTGACGGTTGCCAGAATGGAGGGGGTTTTGTGAAAAAGGATTAAGAAGTACAAAGTGGTAGTCATAAAACAGTCTTGGGGATGTAAGTACAGCATGGGGGATATAGTTAATAACACTGTAACTGTGTGGTGCCAGGTGGGTACTAAACTTATTGGGGCTAGATGGGGAATGCATTTACTTTCGCATTGAAATAGCCTCACCATTTACATGAGCAATGGTTCAGATATAGAAACAGTTTGGTGCTCTCTTTTCTGTGATACATTAAGTAATGTACTGAAACGCTATTTGACATCAGTCAGGGATCTGAACCAGGTTAAGAAGGTGCCAAAGGGAAAAAATAATGACAAAAAAAGAGAGAAGGTGCCAAAGAAGAAATGTTCTCTTCTTGTGGAAGGTAAATATACAGGAAAGTTTTTATCTCAGAACTCAGAGGTTCCCCAATCCTTTACAGAAGGTCTGTATCCTGTGGGCCTCTCCACAAACAGCCATGCCATCATTTTTGTATTCAGATGAGATCAAAGAGGATACACATTCTACATAGTGAGCTCTAGTAAATGACATTATTTAGTCTATGTACAAGGACATTAATCTTTGCAATTATACTTCCCTTTAAAAATTAGCATTCACAAATGTCTTGCCTTCTTACTCCTTCCCCCTCATATACGTATGAATGCCTTTAACTTTCCCAGATACCTCTTGTCTTGACTTAGTTGGCTTACCGTGACTCTCTCTTGTGATTCTGGGAGTCATTGGTTGGGCTAATGTGGACACCCTTTTTTCTATAATTACACAGAAAAAGCTCAACCTTCCCCAAGTTGGATCTAAAATTCTATCATTCAATGGTGGATGCTACTGAATTGATTTAGCCAACACATAGTAAGGTATCAGATATAGAAACAGGATGCCTGATGAACTGTTAGCATTTTCCATTCTCTTCTTCCTCTTTTACTATTTTTTAAAGGCCCCTTTTCTTTTTATTCCCATGCCAGCTCCTCAATAATTAGCTGCTCTTCCTCTTTTACTATTTTTTATTCCCATGCCAGCTCCTCAATAATTAGCTGCTTTTTAAGTAAGCAGTTAAAACAGGTTGGAGAGTCAAGGGCACAAACTGAACCAGCTTCCTCTATTCCTTTCCTCCTGCATCTTGCGGCTGTCCTTCATGGAGATCTGTGGTCAGGATGTCCTGGACGTTGAGAGAAGAGAAGGAGCCCCACCAAATGGGGCTGGTTGCTTATTTTCTCTGTCTTACTTCCCTTAAAGTTCCATGGGTGTTGTGAAGGGTGAGAGCCGTATGCTGTAATAATGAAATAAATCTGGGACCATGTTCAGCTCTCTTCTACCTGGGCCTTCTTCAGAGCCAAGGGGAATTGTACCACCCCCTTGCCTCCATTTCATTTCCTCATGCCTTTTGAACATAGGGGCTATGGCATTCCTTCTCTTTGCCTTTTACCTGGGACTAGAGAGCGTGGTGCCCTACCCTGGCACTGCCTGGCCCCTTATAAGGAGTGGTGGCATTAAGACCAGCCCTCAGGACCTGTCCACCCACCCTGTCCCTGTCTCTGAGGATGTCTCTTCAGTTCTGCAGGAGGTCCCAGAACTCACTCGCGGCACAATATCTTTGTATGTTTGTTATTAATCCCAGGAACTCAGAATTGGTATGACATTTATTACAGCAAATTTTAATCATTGCACAATTTAACTGCAACTTTGAAGAGATTCCTGAGGGCGATTTTTTTTTTTTTTACTTGAAAATTTACTAAAATAGCCCCTTGGTCATTAATCTGTCTGTGTAGTTGGTGGAAATGTATTCACACCTGCAGTGATGTATACTTCAGACCTCATTCAATTATAAAACTGTTACCTTGCCTGGCCAGTATGGCTCAGTGGTTGAGCATCAACCTGTGAAATAGGAGGTCACGGGTTTAATTCCTGGTCAGGGCACATGCCCAGGTTGCCGGCTTGATCCCCAGTGTGGGGTGTGCAGGAGGCAGCCGATCAATGATTCTGTCTCATCATTGATGTTTCTATCTCTCCCTCTCTGAAATAATAAGAAAAGTATATATGAAAAAACAACAACACAAAACTCTGTGACCTTAACTCACTTACCAATGGCACTGTAAGTCATTATATTGTTTTAAATCTACTCAACCTTAAGATATTTTTGTAATTTCAGTAATGTATAAAATTTTGCAAAATCAGTGAACAATTCCTGAAGTTATAACAAACACCAAATGGTGAGGAGTTGAATTAAAATGGAAATCCTACTTCATCTACTAAACAAGGAAATGTGCTTATTGTCTATAATTTTCATTTATTTTAAAATCAACTTATAACCATGGACCTCTCTCAAAGAAAATTCAACTAAATCCACCATCCCTTTGGTATTGGGAGTGAGGAGGAGGGGTCTCTGTTGAAACGTCCTCTCAGGAGGATGCAGAGAGAGAGAGCAGGAGCCCACGGACTTTCTATCTGTTGGCTCCGGATTTGGACACTGGAGGACCAGGATTTTGTGCCTTCTTATTTCATAATGTCTGCTTCTTGCTAATAAGAAACGCTTTAAGTAGAAAGGGCCTTATACGAAAGTGGGAGCTGAAGAGAATCCTGTTTTGGAGAATAAAAAGCCCAAAGGAGAGACTCTGGGGGCTGCCACTGAGAGGAAAGCATCCTTGGGAGCCTCCACAAAGAAGAGAGGGTTCAGGGAGCTGGCCTGGGCCCAAGGCACAGGAGAGGAGAAGGTGTCCCCCATGTCACAGCCCGAGGGCTCTGGGTTGCCTGGCGGGAGAGGGCGAAATCACATTTCACTTAGCGGGAGCCCCACCGAATACCTGGAATATGCCTATTGGATCCCCAACCTTTCTTACTTGTAAGTATCCTTACTGTCATTTTCTGAGATATGAAAAATAAAAATCTTTTT